ACTATAAATTTTCATATTTTTATTTGATATTGATTAAGGAACAATTGTATTTCTTATTATTGCAGTGATTTGGGGCTGAAGGTATGACTAAAATATAATGTATATTAATCCACTATGTAATGATTATAATATTATTCATTTTTGATGAATATTCTATAAATCGTCAAGCTACAACTATACTTAAAAATAAAATTAAACATTTCTAAACAATTTCTAGTTTTATTTTGTTTTTAGAATTATAAATTTACACATCATTGTTTTAACACACGGTTATTGTTTTTAAATTTTATGTGTGAAAGTGGTTGGTTATACTGACTACTGTAAAAGCTTGTTCATATTTTTTATTATTATCATTATATTCTGCAACACGACATATATTATTATGTAAAACATTTTTGTGATAGATATGTATATTAATAAATCAGTTGAAATGTTCCATATTTATTACATGTGTTATTATATTGTGTTGATATTGTTTTTTTTATTGTTATTTTCTTCAAGTTCGACAACAGGTATCGCGTTACGTTACTGTTATAAAACCCTACGAGCACACAATATTATAATATGGTTTTTCATTAACGTCCATATTAAATTCCCATAAAAACATACGATTCCCGATATTACAATAATATGTGTATAAAGTAAACTACAATATGTAAATAATAATGTAATATAAACATACTTAAGAAACTTAAAATCAATTTCATCTATAAAATCACTGTGTGAATGTGTGATGCGTTGGGTTTTTTTTTTTTTCGTGTCTACTAAAATATCAAATGTCATTTTTACGTTTATTCATCAATCGTATATATTTTTAATGTACAAACATAAAACGTATATAGGTGAACCACAATTATAATATTTTTATTATTACATTATGGAATACTCAGTTTGTATATCATATATTTTATATTGTTGGCACGTTATTGCGATTATAATATTGACGTCCGACAACAACCTGTCGGTTATCGATATTATATGAAACGTTATATCAATATACATACGCCCGATACGGAAGAGGAGTATGTACTAATCGTTTGAAAATAATCCAAAGAATGAAATCAATTTTTTTTCTTAGACAGACGAGACAACTTAATCCGCAACCGTTATTATATCCTCGTTATTGTCATACGTATGGCAGAAAATAAAACTTATAATAGTTATAAAACTTGACATTTAGCAATAAACTTGCTAGGACCCTAACTCCCTAAGTATAACGATACTTGTCAATCTGGTTTATTATAAATAACCAACTATTTCTGTTAATTTTCACTGGACGATGTGCTATTATTCATGATGACCAAATCGACTGCATTCGTCGGTATATTAATATATAAACGCATTATAGATGCCCGAAGAAAAACATAATGCAATGTGTTTTTACACGATCATTAATTATTCGTGCATATAACATGCCTAATTCCTAATGTATATTTACAGTCAATAATACCACATGGTATGCATTTATTGACTATCGTGCGAGGTCTGTATTAAATCTTACATGAATAAAATAATAAAATGTGGGTGTGATGTAGGATCATATTTTATAGTTCTAGGGCTATATGCCTCACCAAATTTGTAAAAAACAAATTTACAGACTCCGCACTTGAACTACTTGCAGGTATTAGTTTACGATTGTTTTCACCATGAAAACATTACAATCTCAAGGGCTGTTGAATTAATTTGCGATTGTCGGTCCATTCCGCAATGTAATATAACAATACAACAAATATGATATCAGTATATTATCACACCTCTGTTTCAAGTTGAGTTTTTATAAGTCTTAATATTATATTATGTTACATTTATACTGAAAACTGTTATTAAAATTAAAATTGATGTTTAGATTTGCATTGTTGAAAAATCCGTTCTTCTCCGTAATCCTCGTCTAATCGAAAAATCCTAATAAGACGAGCACCTAGGTATTGAATACTATCCGTCGAAGGGGTATGCCATTCGTTCATCGATTGTTGCTACCGCATATGTGTAGTGTGTACCAACTACCGGTATAGACCTATAATATGTGTTAGAGAGTAACACTATTTTGATCCCCGTCTCAATTGTGATATCGCAGGAAAAAAAACAAGGTCTATAATAATATGAGATCGTATATTATGAAAATATTGAAATGTTTTTGTAATATTTTCGGTTATTTTTCTCGCACTCTGTTGCATTGCAGTCCAGCCGTGCGCATTTTTTCGTTTTATTATAATAATATACACACCTCATATCGGTTGCACTTAACAATATTATATGAACATCGTTATCGCGTGAGTGCATATTACGCGCTGTATATAATAATAATAATAAAATGACACCTATATTATAATATCGTATAGTAGTGTGGAAATCGCATTGCTGTGATACCATACCATTGGCACGACATGTATTATAATTTATAATATTGTAGTAGGTATATACATATATATATATATATATAGAGAGAGAGAGAGAGATACAATACACAATCGTTACATAGAATACTATAAGTCTTAACGATATAATATTATGTGTGGAATCACTGTCACCACCTATGAGACGAGTGACGATCGGTTGAATTTTTTTATACTCGTGACGGACTTGCGACAATAAAACTGAAGATTGAAGAATATTCACGAAACACAATCGGATAATATTATTATGTAAGTACGTATTTTTTGGGGGCCTCCGCGTGTCTCAAAAAAAACCCTCGTATAATATTACGATGGCCTCCCGATAGCGTTAAACTATATTATATGCACTACAACTAAAGATTATTATTTTTTTTTTTTGATTTCATCAAATCGGAAAACACTTGTACATTTCACCAATGGACAGAATTATATTGACCACGAATGCCGTATCCATTATGATAAATGATAATATTATATATTAGTGTAGCGAAGAGTATCATTGTAAACAATTGTTCATACACATTAATATATATTTACTCCTTCTTCTCGACGAACGTACGTTATATTAAATGGACGCTACGCATGCATTTGCAGTTATCATCATTTTATGAATTCTTAGCATAGTAAATAATATATGCTCAACAGATCACGTTAAGCTTCATTAGTTTAAAAATTAATGATAATCGACCAACTATGAAACTTAATGGTAAGAAAATTATCTGTGTTTCAGTATGGTTTTWATTTTAATTGTTCAATTTGTCAGCATGTTTTGCGAATATAATATATTACAAATTAAAAATGCTCATTACCCACTTAAAATGCAATATTTGTAGAACAGAGACAACAAACGTCTCGACTAACGTTCTCTTAATAATAATAATAATAATTATTATTATTATTAATTCCACATGAAAATAACCTTGCATCTATTCTGTTGTTTGTCCTCACGTGGAGTTTTTACATAATTAAGAGTATTTATATACCTGCAGCTCATGTTTTGAGAGCGTTATAATATGATGTTATTACATATTAGATATTGTTATTACGTTCGTTTCTAGTGAAACGATAATATTTTGAGGCAAATATTCGAAACAATATGACTGTTATGTAATAATATAATAATAGATAGGTATAAGGTAAATGTACACATATTTTACGCCTACGAATTACTATAACGATACTTACGTTTCGACTTGACTAATTTGAACTTTCATCGCTAGTAATGACTTATTCGGTTGAAATTGAATTTCATATTAATCTACTTGTATACGTTTAACCCGATTAACCACACGATACGTCGTATTTCTGAGGAACAATTTTACACTTAGATAAACKATTTACGATTTTGTAACAATAATAATTGTACATACGTCGTTATATGAACGTTAGTGATGGCTCATGTAAAGGGAAACAGTCAACGGCAATAAATGTTGGCCCAAGGGTCAGGGCATAATAGTTTGGTTAAAATATGGATTTGATTATAATGTGTTAAATAATCATGTTATTATATTATATTAAAATGTTACTGGATTTTTCTGGTCAATCCATACCAAGATTTTTTTGTTACCAGTTATTTCTACGTATAACAAAATATTAAATTTGTACTTAAAAATGTTAACCCAGCACTATTTTACGTCACGATTTGATAAACGTCGACTTTTGGATCTTTTGTACGACTTCAATTACTTTATGCGCAATGGTGTGTTGTGATATTACTTTAAAATATTGCATTAAAAATATAAATATATACTCATATTATAATATAAATTCGATATTTAAAATTACTTGAAACTTTTGCATAAAAAATATAAACAAAAACTAATATAGAAAAATAGTAAAATACCCATCACACATTTTTCATTTCACTCAGAACTTAAAGATTGTAAATTTTGTGAAACAAATGACAGCCATTTAAGTTTTATTTATTGATATTTTAAAATAAAGAAATTTAATTTACCGTGTTTTTAATATCGAGTTTACTGTCATTACAAACTATTCGCATAAAGTTTTTTTTTTCTTCAAAAGACTTTTAGGTCATAAGATTTACGATAGCGTCATTTTTAATGTACTTTTCGCCCTTTCAAGCCATACATTGTCATTATACAGTTTAGGCACCCTTTTCTAATGTAAATTACACTATTTTCTTTTTACCATACCTATTCATTACGATTTTCACAATGCTTGGAAGACAACATGTTTGCATATTGCGCGCATTTCGTTTCAATGTACCGTTTCAGTCTCATTAACAATAAATAATGTACAATAATAATATGTCATCACAAAATACTGTACAAAATTACTATTTCGTATATTTAATGTGATCAAACTCCATGGCTTTTTTTTTTTTAAATGTTCTGAATATAATTTAAATTTTTTTTATACTCTCGTATTCTTGCGTTGTACCTATCGAGAGAACTATCTTTCGTCTTTCTGCAGGTCGAAAAATCAAATACGTATTGTGTATTATATAATATCATCACGTATCTATTATTTTGATGTAGTCGATTCAACGAGAAATTATAATTAGTATAACTCGGCTATCATACAATTATTGAATGTTGCAGTCGACTATATTCTAACAATATTATTTATTTTTCTTCCATCCAGTTATTATCGGATATGGACACGCCGCAGTACAGTCTTCGGTGGAACAATCACCTAGTCCATATGATGGACGCCATCGAAGTACTCCTTCAAAACGAAACTCTTGTGGATGTCACGCTGGTTTGCGAAAATACTCAGTTTAAAGCCCACAAAGTCGTCTTATCCGCTTGCAGGTACTTATCCAAATTTATATTCGAGACTTGTATCTCGGGAATTTATAATATCTTTATTATTTTTTAATTATATCATATATTTTTTCTAGTCCATATTTTCAAAGGCTATTCTCTGAAACCCCGTGCAAACATCCTGTGATCGTGCTTAAGGACCTTCCCGACTGGGAGATGAGAGCAATCATACACTTCATGTACAAAGGGGAGATTAACGTTGGCCAGGAACAGTTGCCGTTGTTGCTACAGGCTGCTGAAACGCTACAAGTACGTAAACATTATAACATTATTAGTGCTATTTGGGATCCTGGGAAGAAGACCTAAACGTTTTATGTACGTACGAAGACCAATTCTCGGACTTAACCGTAAACTCCTTTATAGGTATCGATGACCCTATTTATTTTTTCACTTGCACAACATTTTATTCAAACTAAACCTTAAGAGGATTATATTGAAATTGATATATAATTGTAACAATCCCGCGGTATCATTATAGTTTGATTCTTAGTTTGAGGTTAAGCAGCTATAATAGCAAGCTATTTACAACATTAATTTTCTCCACCCATACTATTATTAGAGTACCTAACAAAAAAACAAAATAAAATCTATAGACATACTTTTGTATTTTTTGAGTAATAGTTTCATTAATGTCTAACAAAAATATGTTCAACACCTAAAAACAGATTTAATTGTAGATTAACCTAACCTGAACCAGAAATTTGTTTTGTAAAAATCCGACAATAAGATAGATATATGATTAGTGACATATTTTTATGTTAGTAAGATTTTATATAAAATACAATTACATTGAAAGAAAAAATAGTGCAAGTGGACTTAAACCTCGAAGGTATACTTTGGATAGGTGTGAACATTAAAAATCAATAAAAATAACAAAATGTTATGTATTATAATAAAATATGCTTACTCATTATAATATATTCTTAGTCTAAAAATTAATTATGAAATAACCTTTGGCATTGGTATCACATATAAAAAAAAAAAATTATTAAGAAAAATAATTGGTCGACAGCCAATTCATGTAACTGCAGTGTAGAGCCAAGACACTACAACCCGTGATCCTCATTCGTACCGACCATGTCAACTACTAAAATATTACAAATGAATGTAATGTATAAGTGGCGATTATGGGGGGGGCGGGGGTGCACGAGCATGGGAGATCCTATATCTAAGGGTGGGTGATGGATCATAGATCGCTACCACTAATCGCTTTCACGATTGTATGATTGCAGATTCGCGGACTGGCCCACACTGAGCGCATTCCGTTGTTCGTCGATTCGCCCACTTCGTCGTCGGCGACGCCCACGGACGTTCAGCCACCACCGTCACAACAACAACAGCAGCCGCCTCTTTCGTCTTCTCATCACCACGGCGTGAGCGGCCACCATCACCATCACCATCAACACTCCAGCAGGGGCCACAGTCCTGGCGGCGGAAAATCGAGCACGACCGCCGGCCACGAACTGATGAACGGACAGAGTTCCCCAGGCAAGAGTCATCATCACCATCATCACCACCACAGGCACCGGACCGCCGACTCGCCGCAGAGTCCGCGCAACAAGTCGCAGCCACCGTCTCATCACGCACTCGGTCTACCGCCACCGCACCATCGCGACGGATCCGCCGGCCGCATGTCACCGACCACCAGGATGTTCTTCCAGGCCGCCGCAGCCGCTGCGGCCGCTGCTGCTGCCAATCCGTACGATCCTTCACATATCCGTCTGCCACAGATACAGCACCTGCCACCCATCACGTTCAACGACAGGAACTGTCCGTCGCCGACACCTCGCAGGAAACAGGTAAGTCATACTACTATACAACGCGTAAATTATGACATTATTACATAACCTAATCTAACTGTATGCCTTTGTGGCTGTTCATTCGTTGGGTTTCAATTATTTTCTCTCAATCTCGAATTTCAAAGAGAAAATCATGCAATAATGCCTAACGTTAAATTTTGTCAAATACAAAACAATATTATGATGTATGATGCGCTTAACATTAAAATAATTATAATTATTTATTAACATAATTATGCGTACACGCGTGTCTAGGCTCGACCCAGGCGAAGATCGGGCGAAGCGATTGGTCCACAAGATTTGAGCAAAGCTCCTTCTCCGTTAAACTTCAGTAACAATGTCGCCGAAAATTTGTCGATGAAAAAGTCACCAAATAATGAAAATATCAATAACGAAAACATGCCCACAAATTTAAGTTGTAACAATAAAAGGCCAGACAGGACACCATCGCCATCGGCAAATGTGAGTTTTCAAATATGACTTGTAAATCTAAACAGACGAATAATATGAATACCTATATCATAATATAAAATTAATTTTGTTTAAATAAAAATGATTAGATGATGTTTTATAGTTATTCAAATAATATTGTTCATAATAAAAAAAAAAAATGAAATTGTCACGAATAGAGAGAAAATTATGGCATTTATATCTACAATCGAGTGTATTAGCTAAATATTCAATTTTATTACACATACAATTTTAAATCTCGTTAAATAAAATACGTATTTAATAAAACACGTCATAATTGACAGTACTTTTTTCCGTACATAAACAATTATAAAGAKATGTTTTTTTCTCATTCAGAAACAAATGAAGGTCGAAGTGGAAGAATCAGAAATGATTGGAGACTTGGGACAAAGTCTGCCGGTAGAGTTGACTGCCAACAGTGGTAACCCGAACGTAAACAACAATAACAATAATAATAGTAACCAGTCGAGTAACAAAAAGAACCACCACCATCACCTCCATCATCATCTCAACCACCAACAACAGCATCAGAGGCATCCGGACTTCCCTTATTACGGGCCGGATCCCATGAGTATACCACTTAATCCACACGTGAGTTCACGTCTTTGCTACTTAAATTTTGTTTTACGTATTTTATTTTTTCACCCCTCTTTACCACGGGGACTCGTCGTTACTACTTAGTTTGCTTATTCGTTTTGGAAATTAAAGTCCTTGGAAATATTATTAATGTCAACCGAAGTACAATGATATTTTTTGGTTACTTTTAAATTTTAATATACGTATAGAATATAAAACATATTATTAATCCCTTGGTGGTAACTAAAACGTACAACCAAGATTTTCGTTTAAAAGTATAGTTACTTTTTAGTGAAATATTTTGAATAGTACGTATTTATAAAAAATATTATAGTGCTATAAGCAAWTATGAAAATAAAATACACAATTTTGAGTCATTAACAGAGTTTAGATGGTCAGTTTTAGTTTCGTATTTAAATTATATACTTTCACGAGCTTTTAAGTTCTGTACCTTAGTAACTAACATACGGATGTACTTCGTTTACCATATCATGCCCATGAATTGAATATTAGCAGAATTATAAAAAAAGAGTTCATAATACATATTTTTGGTTTTTATTTTATAGGATCCGCACTTTGAGAATTCACTGTTTCCACCTTTTGGACCGTTGTCGTCGCTATCTCTACAAGGGCCTCCTCACAGTAAGTTTCAATATATATATATATTGAGTTAATAAATGTAAAACAAAGTTAGAGAAAACAAAAAAAGCTTGTGTATGTGACTAAGAGGTAGAGCATGTCAAGTAATTATGTGACCATGTGTTTTTATGTGTCACTTAGTGTTCTTTTTTATAACAATATATAATCATTTTTTGTTTGGAATTCGTTTTTTTAAAAGGCACTCGACATGCATATGAGTTTTTATTATTATATGAAGTGTCTAATATATTTTATATTTATTTCAAACTCATCCGCAGTCGTAAGATTACAATAAAATTGTCTATTTTAACAATGACGAGAGTAATCAAACGTTTTGATTTATTCTGTAGGTAACTCGTTTTATTTGTTGAGTTCGTGAAGCTAATATTTTTTTATTTTTGTTTTCTATTATAGTGTTTCCAATAGATGCACAATTTGGTAAGATTTATAGAAAATTTCATTACGTATTACAATAGTTTACCGTTTAGTAAAAATTAAAAAAATATTCAAAGAATTAGTTAGAAACTAGAATAATACATAAAAATAAATTATAAAATTATTTTTAGGCGTTTAAGGTAGACAAATTATTTTCTTTGATGTTGTAATGTACCAAATAAAAGGAGTAAATGCATATTTCATTTTCTATTTAATAATAATAATCATTGTTTCACAATTGAATTTTTAAATTTCATACAGTGGCATAGTAACCAGATATACATTTAATCAGTAATTATAATAGTTTACTATAATTATTACATCATTGAACATAATAAAAAAAATCAATTATATTTTAATGTTAGCTCTGAAATATTTGTTAGGTATTACTATACTATTTTATGATTTTAATATGATTGTGATTTTAAAATTTAAATTTAAAATCAATAAAATGTATTTAAATATTTGAAATAATAAATTGTGAATGAGATATATTTTGAAGTATTCAATAAACATCTTATTAAATTCTCTCTTGAGTGGTTATTTTATTCATATTGTAAATTATTTTGTGAATATGTGTGGGGAAGGGGGAGCATAGGATTTACAGAAAAAAAAAATTTTAATACTGTTTAGTATTACATTATTTTAATTTTTCCTCATTTCATTTCTTCTTTATTACTTTGCTGTTTCGTATTTACAAATATGATTACTTAAAACTTACAAGGCGATAATATTATAATTCCAAAACAATTCAAAGTAAATCAATCGTTCAGGTGCTAAATAATAATGTATTTGACAAACTTTATATTACACCCTATAATATAATAACCACATGAACAATGATAATTGATTAATACAACAGCTGACTATGATAATATATAATTTTATACAAATTATTGTAACATAGTGTAACTGTAACATATCGGGGGAAGTGTTCGACGCGACGACACTAAATACTTAAATCTAACGACTTAAATCGTAGATTATGCATTTTTATTTTATTGTCCATGCGTTTGTAAACGAACATTTTTTTCTAATGTTATCGATGTTCATAACAGGTCTATTTCCCGGTTTGGACGGCTGCAGAAACCCACTGTTAAACGAATTGATCGAACCGAGGTTTGACAATCCGCCGCCGAGTAAAAAGAAAAGTAAGCAAAACAACCATGCGGACAATGTGATTTATAGCGTGACACTTTTAATTCGCTTATTAATAATTAAAAATTATTTTTCTTCGCAGAGAAAATGTTCCCGGTTGGTCGTCCTAAGGGTCAGCACAGCGCTCCTCGCGGTGGCCCTCCCAGGTCGTGGACGAACGCTGAACTCACGGAAGCGCTGCAACATGTGTGGAACAAGAAGATGACCACATCGCAAGCGTCCAGAATTTTCGGTATACCGTACAACAGTCTACTCATGTACGTGCGTGGCAAGTACGGAAAATCGCTAAAACTGGAACAGTTGAAAAAAGAATGTTTCGGTGACATAAACGGTCCGCTAGACTTGTTACACTTCGGGTCCATATCGAACAACAACAACAGCAGTAACAAGAACAACAATAACAACAACAACAGCAGCAACAGCAACAACAACAACAGCGGCGGTGGCGGTAATAACGGCCAGTCGAATATCAACGGTTCCGGTAACAACAACGGGGGCGGAGGAAACGGCCCGACACTGCAGCCGTGCAACCCGCCGTCGGAACCCGTTGACCTCATGCTGGGCCCTCCAGGATTCAACCCACCCGCGTTCGCGGCACCCAACTTCTTCCCGGACTTCGGGTCCACGTTCCCGATGGGCATAGACATGATACATCTGATGCACCAACAACAGCAGCACATGTCGTCGATGTCGGCGGCCGACAAACACCAGTACTTGGGGCTGCAGGACATGATCGGCGGCCAGCCACTGCAGTCAGCCGTCGTGTTAGACTACGCGATGAAATCTCCGGCCGCCAGTCGCAGCAACTCGGAACCTCCGACGACGGGTGGCGAGGGTGACGGCGATGGCGATGGTGACGGAGACGTCGACGGCGACGGTGAGGGTGACGGCGACTGCGACGATGACGACGGAGCCGATGACTGCGGCGTCGACGACGATGACGATGAAGATGACGACGACGACGTGGTGGCCATGGACTTCTCGAAGGCCGGCGGTATCAGCGGTGACGTCAGTGGCGGTGACGTTAGTGGCGGTAACGTTGGCGGCGGTGACGTCGGCGGCGGTGCCGGTGACGAAGACGACGGGGTTGACGACGAGGACGACGACGAAGACGTCGACGACGAAAGACTGAGTCCGGAAGCTGATGACAAGGACAAGGAGCAAGACTGACACGGGGTGTTTAGGGACTACGCGCTGGCGGCCTTCGACGCGGTGCTCCGAACATAATTTCGGCCACATCGACGTCCTTCGCGCTGGGTATACCGGTGGTTTTCCTGTWCCGAAAAATGCGCACAAGCCCGTCATGTACACGAGCGCGTGCGTCCCTTGTCCACCACGTGGTCGTCGTCGTCACGGGCGTTCGGCCGAATCGCCGCCCCGTATCCCACCCGCAACTAAGTGCGTGCATGCCCCTTACCTCCACCCACCAACCCACACCGCAAGTCCTGTCAAACCTTCCTTCTCGCCCTTATCCGTTATCAATTAGAATAATGTCTCTATTATAATATTATAAATAAAAAATAATAATAGTTATTATAAATATAATATAATATAACCATTCGGTCGAATCGTATACGGCCGTGGTTCGTATTCGCGCGTGTAATATAATTATCGTTTTTAATGATAAGGGATTGAAATAAAATAATAAAAAATTACAAAAAAAATTTCGGTACGAAAAAAAAATGTAAACAAAACTACTAATATTACTACTACTACTACTACTACAGCTAGTGAATACAAAGAAACTTGTAAATTAGATTTTAAAACAAATTGATCGTGTACATATTTATAAGTGTGATCGTCGTATCGATATTAAAAAAAAAAATTAATTATATTATTTTAGACCAAAACGTAGCCATTTTAAAGATAAATAATGATTATTGATCCGAAACAATAGAATTTTGTCTCAGCCCGATTTACAAATCAAAACGATACAATTACCTAATATACAGCCGAACACATTATGGTGTCTACATACAGTTCCTAAGTTTTAGTTACAGTAATTTTATTTTTATTTTTATTAGATATTAATCATGTGTATACTTCTGTGAAACTGTGATTCCTATACACACATGTTGGCTTTAAGTCTTACTGCATTTCGTACGTTTTTTGAGAGATGAAAACATGATATTTACCTCGAAATCAGCAAGAGAAAACGACAAAATATATTATACAATATTGTTCCTCGTATATTATGAAGCCACTACAATACATATTTTTTATTTTATAGTTCCTGTTCATTCGCCATTTTGTTTTTGTTTTTTTTTTCTGAGCCATAAAAACGCATACGTTTGTTCAATTTTGTGATTAATTGGACGTAATATTACCAGAGATTTGGTTACTGAAGTAACATTATAATATGTATCCAACGAAATTACGTTAAAACTTTACGTGTCTACCAACAAGCGGTCGGTCAAACTTTCATAACAGCTTTCATTGATATCATCATCATCGTTATTGTCATCGTTATTACAGTAATAAGTTTAATAACATTACAACCATAACAATCCAAATAAGCGAATGATACGAGAATAGTTTATAAGAGATGGCGGTATGCGTCGTATCTGTTTCGAAGGTACGTCCTCATGGCAAACGATTAATTTTTTAAATTTAATTTCTTGCAATAGCTCTAAATAGGATTTTAAACTTAACTATAGAGAAATACACTCGTCACTCATGCAGGGTAATCATGAAACATTTATAATACAATACAGGTACTTCTATATACATAATGAAAAATAATAATAGTAATAAATATCAGGAACGATAATAATAATATATTCTATTATACGATTATTATTCACACAAATATACCTTAAAACAAAAAGTTCATTATTTATAGTACTAATTAATATATTCAAAATATAGTCTGTTATATAAATACACTTGTGTGGAAAAAAAAAAGCAAAAATATTAAAAAAATATTATATAACAATAATAATATGTGTGTTAAATTGAGTGCAATGTATTACTTTTGTGGTGATTTATTTGTTACCTTTTATTTATAATAAAATAGTAAATGTCTTAAGTTTATATATTTCTTAAGTTCCAGCAAAGCTTTTTATTCTGTTTTATTTCCTAAGGCTGTGTTTCTGCTCCGTTTCATATTTTTCAAATGTACAAACAAACAAAATATAAAACGTCATATTATAATATTATTATGTCATAACCATATTATTTCATATAAAATACCTATATACGGCTAATGATTTTATAGATACATTTATATAATACAATAATGGTGCAGCATCTCAGGGCATTAACTAGATGTACCAATTTTCGTTAGATAATAATTATTCTATAAATAAAATATATTATATATATATTATAATTAAATCACATAACGTCCGATAGTCTATAACCTATTTTAAATGTGTTTTTTTCGTCTGTTTTTATCATGTACGTGTAAATTAATTGAACAAAAAATTGTATTGTTAATATTATAGAAAGTAGATGTTTAGGATTAAAGTAAACTATGAAAAATACTGTTTTTTTTTTCTTAAATTTTATTTTGTGAGTGTGTTATTATTTGTATTATTATTTTATTTTATTTTTGGTAATAGCGTCATTTCTGATGACCTTGTTAAGTTGATTTTTTTGGTATTGGTTCCTGTTATAATTTTATGATTTATCCTTTTAAGAATTATTATTATCATTATTTAATTGTTTTTAGTATTTTTTTTTTTGTCCTAAAACTCTCGTCGAGACATGTATTGTATTGATAAATACAAATTATGTTATTAGGTTTAATCAATTAATGTAATTTAATTTTGAAATTATTAATTAATTTACTTTATTATTATCATTATTATTATTAATATTATTATTATTATTATTATTATTATTATTATTATTATTATTATTATTATTATTATGATTATTATTATTATTATTATTTGTGGGAATCGAAAAGTTGATGAATGATGTCGTTGAAAACGAAAAATTATAAGATGTTATACGATTCGTAAACAAAATAATAATTACAAAAAAATTAATAAATAAAAAAAAAATATAATAAAATAATAAAAATATATCAATTAAATGTATGTTTTTTGATTTGGTTTTTAACTACGATAACATATGATTTTAAGGGTACAATATAGGTACGCTTGTATTTTCTGTCTTTGTTTATCCTACGAATGACATTGTAAAACTCGCGTTCGTTCTTCCGAAAATTATTCTTCAAATAATTATAGTATTGGGTTTTCTACCTAAATCGGAGTTAATCAAACGAAAATGTCTCATAATGAATCGAGTTAAAGGACGTGATACCCGCATGTGTTGTCTCCGTCTTACAAATGTGTAGGTAACATACCAAATTTTACGCTTATGCCTACGCCTAATAACCTCTGCCCCTTGGTATGTTACCAATAAAAACCTCCATAAGGATCTGAACATGCCAACCCTTAACGACCTAGCAAAATCCTTCTACTCAAAATTCCACTCAACGCTCCGCGCTCATTCAAACCCCATCATTAAAAGCCTATCCTCTACCATCATTCCTAGAAGGTTAAAAAGGCAATGGCCAAGAGATCTCCTCAACATCTAACTTAAAAAAAATAAAAATAAAAAAAATAAAACATTAAATAAATAAACTCAAACCCTAATTTCTGGTCAGGTGGCACTGCTGGGAGCCTTCCTCCTCTTGTTACTTTTTTCTTTTTTTTTCACATATTACTTATTACTCTGTCACCACACTTACTCATTATACACTTACATGTATAGATTGTAAATATACTTTATTTTTAATAAAAAAAATTTTACGCTCAGCAGAACACGTGTAGCTCTGTTGGTTTAATATTAAGAGTGAATTAACCTCTTATAAAAATCAAAGGCAACATTATTATCGAGGGCTTTTCATAGGATTTTCATTATATTTTAATTTTAATGCGAGGTACGAGTATTTTCAGATATACAAACAATTTAAAATTTTAAAATACTCATAACTCAGAGATAGAGAAAACATGTGGGTACCACGTCCTCTTAAGTTTCGATATGTTTTGGACAAGATCAGCAGATACTAAAAACATTGATGATATTATATTTTTTGAAATAACAAGCGAATTGTCATATACGATGATAGCGTATACATTAATAATATATAAGTATGATAGTTTCGTCTGCTGTCGGTATAAACGGAAAAAAAAATATAAAAGTAAGATAATAAAAAGTAAATTGTCATGTCGCACTCTTCGAAATGTTATTCGATAAGCTCAGTATTCGGTTTTTTCCCGTTATAAAAGCCCCCC